AGCGCTGTCTGAATCTGAATGTTCATCACTCTCAAAGTTGATTATTAAAGGTTCGATGTCTGGTCGATCAAAAATTCGTTCTCTTTCATACCATTTAAAAATTTCTTGCTCAGTATGTCGAACACTATTTTTCCACATGTCTGGGGTAACCGTTTGTAGAGCCTCGTTCCACATATCCAAACAGTCTTTTTCACTGTTACCATCTCTACCAATATGTCTGTTATAGTAACCTTTTGCTATGCCCCAAATTAACTCAATAGGGTTAAATATACAATGGTAAGGAGGCAGACGAAGAACTTTGTGCCCATGTTGTTCCGCCAATTCATCAATCACGTATATTTTAGGTGGTTTGTTTCTAAAAAAGCAGTTATTTTAAGAATAGGAATAAACAAAAGAAATATAAACTGTCGACCAAAATATATATAATTAAGAAGCATTATGTACCGAGCAACAATACTCAATAGCTCTGTTTTAAACATTGTGTTTAAAAATGGTATGTTTTGATTTGTCAACCAGTCTTGGATATTTTTTTTTGTCCATGCATTGTTGGGCACTTTGTTCAATATCATGCTGTGATAAGGGGCGTTATCCAGTATAATCATAGATGGACTCTCCAATTTTTCTAATAACTGATGTTGAAACCATTTCAAAAAATTGTCCTGGTTCATCTCTCCATGGTAATCGCTCAATTTTGTTTTCGAAGAAAATATCGCTTCACTACCCTCAATAAACCCATTTTCATTTCCAGCATGTAATATAATGTATCTAAAATATATTAGTTTTAAATTTTATAGTGCAAATTGTGTAAAAATACATACCTTTTACCATCTGTTTTAATAGCTTTCACGCTTTTTTGGTTTCCATTTTGCCAAGAGCGACCTATGGTCCCATTTTGAAATATCCAAGTTTCATCGAGGAAGACAAACTGGTATAAGGCCTCAACCTTGGCTTGATTGTATTGCCTTAGAAATTCCACCCTTTTCAAAGCTATACTTGGTAGTTCCATGAGCCCTCGTCGCGGATTGTCCTTAAGCCACTTAAATCCAAGATCTCTAAGCAACCGCCTTAAAGACGTGGCACTACCATCAAATAATGCCCTATCTCTTAATCGAGACCATAAAGTTTGTATCGTAACTTGTTCTTCTGAAACCATGTGTAATATGACATTATAATTTAGTTAACAAATTAATGCAAATTTCTGATAAGTTATTATAATAAGATCTTACTTTTGTGATACATATTATAGATCACTTCTCGAATGGCACTTGTATCCAATGTCGCTGTGTTGGTTACACGTTTAATATAACTCCGCTTTTTCTTGGGCGATTCTAAATTTGCATCACTTTTCACACCCTCGGAAATACGACTAACTGTCCTTAAACTAATTTTTAAAGCAGCAGCAACACGCTACAAAAAATGAAATAAAATTTCACTATTATTAATATACATTACATATAATTATTAGTAACCTACCTCTTGAAGAGCATTTAAAGGCAACAAAGGCCCGTTGTTGTCCCTTTCTTGCTCAAAGTAGTGCATTAACGAGGCCACGAGTTCCTTACACCGACTATTTAACTGTTTGGGCATCTTTATATACCAAAATTGCCTTTATCTACTCGTAAAATGAATAATTTTGTTTTGAAACAAACAGTTGTTGATTTACAGTATGCGGGGCCAAAGGATTTATAAAGATTTGAAATGCCACAAATTGATTCAGTGTCAAAATTAATACAAATGTCAGTTCCCAGTTTAAATAAGTTTCAAGGTGACAATGTGTCAACGCTGCGAAATCGGTTTAGTGCGTTTACATGTCGATAAGTGATTGGAGCGTTTGCAAAACATTTTATTTCGCATAATGCGTCTAAATTTATCAGAAAGCAACTTATGTGATATTTTAATAACAATGTTTATATGACTATTAACCATAATAAGAGAGTAATGACCATTTTACAATTTATATATCACATTAATATGAAACTGCAATAGAGCAATTGTTTGTGATAGAAACCTAGGCATTAGGTCGGGGAATTTTTATCGTGATGACGTGCACGCCACTTTGTTTGGCGTTGACTGTAGTTTAACAAAGAATTGCTTTAATAAGACGACCATATTTCTCAATAAGGGGTGCTGGTGTCGGTTACGGCAGAAACCAAAGCTGAGACCAAAATTTCGGTTGAAAAACTTGTTTTGGTCGCACATTACTGACCCTCTCCTGTCCTAAAAAATACCTTCTTTTTCGTTGCTTTTTTTATATACTCTAACTACCACGAAGGCCTAAGGCCTAAGCACCCATTGGGTACCGTGGGGATATAGGGGGATACATGGGAAAGGGGGAACGCCACACGGACTCTGGCGAGGGAACATGTGTGCATGCAACATGCACACATTCTGGCCCCGCCTACGACATCCGCCGGGTGGTACCTCCGCGTTCGACAGTCAGAGACCATCTACCACCTACGGACAATCACAACAGCCATAGCCAAGAGAAAAATTTCTCCTGGGACGGGACTCGAACCCGCACAGCTCACGGCAACTGATCAGGAGACCGAAGAGTCTACTTCTGCGGCCACCGCTGCTGCCTGATTTCACCCTTCCTTCCTTCTTTTACACTCCCCCTTTTTCCCCAACATTGTCTGATTTCTGGTTACCAGACCTGACAAAACTTACCGACTAATTCTGTAAATTAAGTGATCAGACTAGTAACGTAGCGTTAGATCTGGCAACACTGGAGGCGTCGGGCTTGGAGGCGAGATAGGGGAACATGTTATCCGCGTTCAGTACAAGTTTGAACTCGCCCGAGTAATTTGGTTGTTTTGGTTTCTGTTTATGAAACAGTCTCATCACTTAATTTACAGACCTCGTACTAGGAGACAAGAGTTAATGCCTTACAAGGATGAATGATTTGAGTTGGAAGAATTTGTGTCTTCTCATCATATTACCACCAATATTTGGGCTGCTTGAATTCTCGATAATTTTAAAACTGTAACTAGTAAGTGGTGAAAGGTAGATTGGAAATCAAACGAGTATAAAGACAGCGAACAACGTAAAACTCCTTTGGCGCGATTATAATATCGTATCGATAAATGTATAATGGTGCAGTTAATGAACTGTTATCAATGTAAATATTTATAATCGTAATTTATGATAGTTTCGGGGCATCGTATTGTGCATTAAGTGCATGGAAATTATGCTCCGTGCGGAAGTACGCAATGAGAATTTATTACGACAGGCCGATGTTGTCATAAATAATGTAATGTGTATTAATAATCGGACGTCATGTCTACTTAAAGATGATGCTACTTCCCAGCACAGGATGAGAAGGCATCGCAATCAGGACGAACTTGTGTGTGGCCCAGTAATTTTGGTTTGTGAAAGGATTGAAATCCTCTCCGACAGAGCAACGCCTACGTTTATTGAGACTGTAGTAAAAATTTCACGTCCATATTTTCTAAAAAGACACGTTTTCGAATTATTGACGGTCGCGATTTTACAAAATTCGCACGAGGTACTTCGCCTCCGCTCGGATGGTCCACATGCCTATTAAGAAATTGCGTTAATAAAAGATATTGTTTTGATAGTAGATTTAGTGTTTGAATACAATATGTATTTGGGTTTTATTTAAATTAATAGCAATAAGTCAAAAATGTCTGGAGAAAAGTTGTAAAAAAAAGTTTACCAAAAAAACTCTTTAACGATGTAGCAATATACAAGGTGTTCCATTTGACATTTATGAGAAAACGTACATTGTTTTGTTTTGAGATATCCTGTATAAATAGAAATAAATTTTTCCAGATCTGAAATTTATCCAAATGTCTTCATAAATGGCGGAGTTGCGAGCAGTCAAAGTTGGGGATTTTTCACTAAATATCTAAACAATTGACAGTAGAAACCATATATTATATATGATATCAAACTTCTTGTTTTTAGAAGCTCTATCCAAATATTCAATAAAATATGGGGGTATTTTTTTTAAAAAAGTACACGTTTGTTATGGCACAAAGTTATGAAACACCCTGTACAAAATAAATAATTTCAAAATATGCACTAGTAACATATCAAGGTTGCTACGAAAACAGATTTTTTATATCTCTTCCAGTTTGCTCTTGAAACTGTTTGTTGGGACACCCTGTATATCTATATGCTGTCCATCAGTTGGAAAATACTTGATAGAGTCAGTAAAACCTACGTTATCTCACTCAAAGTAACCAACACACACACACAGGTATACTATAACTATCTAAAACTGTAATGACTCATCGATGTTCACGTGAACATCAATCACTTAACCACCAGTAGTCGACTGTTCATAGGCGGGGTATGAATGTTTAACATGGGTGAACTAGATTTGTCACATGCTTAATAAAGAGTGGTTTGAAACATATTGTAAGTCAAAAATTTGGGAATTACCTTTATTCATCGTCTCTTCCACTTACATCTGACAGTAATAAACTGTCGCTATCGCTTTCCTCGTTGAAATTGACTATAACTGGCTCTTTGATGGTGTCGATGTGGCGGTCAAGCTGCCACATTTTTGTTTCTTCCTTCACAACATGACGGATAGCATTCTGCCAAGCTTCGGGCGTTACTAGCTGTATGGAAGTCTCAAGTAAAACCTTAACGTCTGGTAATTTGAAGGTTGTGTTATGGCGCGCAATATAACCCTTCACTTGAGCCCAGATGAGCTCTATTGGGTTCAGTTCACAGTGGTAGGGCGGTAACCGCAGCACAGTGACACCACATTGACGGGCCATCTCATCAGTCACGTAACTAATGTTCGCAGGTTTGTGCTGTTTAATTTTTGCATACAATTCCGCTTTCACACATGAATCGTCAAACGGGATTCCTTTTTCGCGCAACCATTGCTGCATGTCACTTTTTCGAGATCCCATAGTCGGTACACGTTCGGCTCGACGACTATGGTAGGAAGCAGTATCCATGACGATCACAGAGTTGGGCTCAACTCGCTGAAGCACCCCTTGAAACCAGCTCTCGAAGCAGCTGGCATTCATTTCGTCATGGTAATCACCTCCTTTCTTAGAGACGGAAATCAAGTCACACTCTTCTAAAAAGCCACTATCGCTACCAACATGAGTTACGATCAATCTTTGACCTTTCCCTGACGGTCCACGAAGACCTGTTGACAAACCTTCAATGCTTGCTTGTGGGTTACTCACTACGTTTTTGTCTATCCAGGTTTTTTTAACTGTGTGACCTGCATTTACCCATGTCTCGTCCAAATAATAGATTTTTCTGCTTTGTCGCCTATATTCAATCATTTCGCGTAGGTATTTTCGACGCCAGGCGACTATTTCAGGTCTCTCTATCAATACTGACTTCCCATTACGCGTTTCGTAACGAAAATTAATTTCGTGCAGGGATTTCCTCATTACCTCGACGCTCATTTCGGGTATAATTTCATTTTCCTTGATCGCTGCATGTACAGCCTTGAGGGTTAGTATCTCATTCCTAAAGAAGAATGAATGTACGGTTCGCCTTAACGCCATTTTGCTATCGTCATCCAATTTAACGGCCTTTCGTCCCTTCAAATTAAACTTTGGATCAGTAGTAGCTCCAGTTTTCTTCTTTTGATGCACCACCCTGCGAATGGTCCACTCTGGAACGCCTGTCATACTTTCACAACGCGCGAGTGCATCTCCCTGCGACATAGTTCTGTTCAGATAATTGAACACGTTGAGCACGATTTCTTTCGCGTCCCTCTTCAGTGCTTTACGAAGCCGTCTACTTGTTCCCTGGCTTTCAGTACTTCCACTCGTACCATTTGTACTCTCCATGGTGAAGTATAACCAAAACAGTAACCACAGAAACCAGAACAATAACAATCACCTAACAAATCTTATAAAAACACACAATATGCGATCGCTCAACGAAACACGTTCCAATGCGTTGCCGACGCCTATGAGTCTGCCGGTCGAGGCACGTCTTTGATTTCATTGGTTCTACCGGCGGGAACAATCAGCCATTATTTCCATCTCTGTCTGTGCTGTTGACCACCGCAAAGCCACAGAAACGACATATGTCATACACTATACGGCTGTACTGGAACGAAGCCGGGATCGAGCTCTGATCACGTGTTGATCACGCGTATGAGTCATTACAGTTTTAAATAGTTGTAGTATAGTACAAGGCACTGACACCCAGTGAGCAATGTGAATTTTGGAAAAAAAATCGCAATCGCCAATACGTAATCAGGACGCCAGATTGCATCTCAAATCTAAATTCTGGTGGTCTCTGAATGCGTCGATACCAAAAAATTATCTTTGGGCGACGTTAAAATGATCGTTCTTTCACTGATTCTTAGTGAAAACAAAATGTAAAAAAGACACATCTAGTAATCTTCACTTTATAGTGGTTGTCAAATTACGAGTTTAATGGTCATTCTGGGGAATGTTGTGAAAAGGAATGCGTTGAAATATGTCACAATTAACCAAAGAAATCAGCTTTATCTGCTAATATTAGGTATCTATTATCCAGGTGAAATTTCCCATTAGTAATTGTAGCCTAATTAGCGATAGACGTTAGTCAAATGCTGAAAGGTTTGTCCTGATAGATACACTTATTGCAGTGCCCCTAGGAAATAATTTTTTGCGGACAGTAGATTTATCGGTGATAACGTCTAATAACCGTTAATAAACTGTTATCGATACCAATAACAGTAATTTGCATTCGCCCCAAGCGTTGCAACATGTTGCAAATTTTTTTATAGAACAGTGAAGTTAGAGAAATACGTGAAATATTTCGTAAAACAAAAATGTTCAACAGAAACTAACGTAGGCATTATGACATGGTGAAAGATGTAATCCTCTCTTATTTCTCCATTTCTTAAAGCGCGGGATTCGAAGCTGTACTGTTCACGGCATCAAAATACAAGGCGCAAGCCTTAAAGCTTTCGACCACCATCCCGTCTCAAGTAGGGGTAGGATCATGTCCAGCATGACACGCAACACTATGTCAACCGCTTTCTATTCTATACTCGGGTACCAAAATGGAAGAAAGTAGTACTGCTAGCGTGTCGTCAAAGCCGGGACACGTGTTAACAGTGGCGTACGATGTGTTTTGCTTTCTTCCGTTTCAGTACGAGACTATAGGATGATCCGCATATGTAACGCAAGAACCCAATGTAATTTTCATCAACACATACAACTTACAGCTTAGAACTGCAGTAATGCTATCTCAGAAGCAGATTTTCATCACATCAGAGCCAAATACTGATAACAAGCCTCATGACGTTTAGGCAACACGTACAACTAAGTGCTGAGTTAATGTAAAAAACCTACATAATGAAAAAAAAAACAGCATAATGTTAAAAAAAATCGGCATCATGTTACTTGCCTTCTGTGGGGTGCCATTTTATTTACTTTATATGTTCATGTAAATACATATAGTTATTACTATAATTTTCTCGTACTATATTTCGTTGGTGCTCGCAACTAAAGTTAATGCTTTTACTCACGTTCCAACAGGGTAGCGGCTTCCTTTTTTTGCTCAAAACTAACCTGAAACAAAAAAAGTAAAAATGTATTTAATACGAAACAGAAGCAGAGAGCATTGAAGGTAAATGGACTGTAAAATTGTCAGTAGAACTAATCTATTATTGATTTTGAAAGATATACGATGTTAAAATTGTTAAATGCTTGATTTTAAGTGGGTGTGCGGATTCGAACTAATTTGTACTGGAATCAACGGAGAGTCCCAGACGATATATACTAAGTGACATACAAATCCGAACACCCAGTTTAAATGGTTTTATTTTAATAAAATTTTGTATAAGTACTTAATGAAGCATAATAAGTAAATGATAAAAATTTCAAAATGATTGCACTGCTTTAAAGCCCTTTGACCTTTAATAATGTGTGGATGCACCCTGATGCATTCTCCAACGCGTCTAGGCATGCTTCTGATCAGGTGGTCAATGTCCTCCTGTGGTATCTCATTCCAGGCAACCACCAACTCCTCTCGAAGTGCTTCTAGAGTCTGAGGAGGACGTTGCAAATTGAGCAATCTCCTACCCATCATATCCCACACGTGCTCAATTGGGGATAAGTCGGGAGATCTTGGTGGCCGTGGTAACAATGTGACATCATTATGTTGAAAGAAGTCTATTGTGACTCTTGCAACATGTGGTCGGGCATTATCTTGTTGGAAAGTTGGATCTGCCAGGGTGTCAAGATAGGGTAAAAGATGGGGTTCTAGAACTTCGTGGATATGACGCTGCGCGTTCATGTTACCTCTGATGAAGATTAAAGGTGACCTGGAACCATAAGCTATAGCACCCCAAACCATAACTACAACAGTGTGATGAACATGTCTTTCAACAAAAAACTGTGGATTCCTCCTTTCACCACGTCGCCTTCTAACTCTGGCACGACCATCGTGCATGCCTAAACAAAATCGAGACTCGTCACTAAAGACAATACTGTTCCATTCCTGATCCCAGAGTGACCGTTGTCTGCACCACTCAAGGCGATTACGTCGGTGTTCTCGAGTTAAAGGGAGGACCCAGTGTGGCCGGTATGAAAACAAGCCAAAACTTCTCATTCGTCGGTAAACACTTCGCATGCAAATAGGTCTTCCGTGTTCTGCAAACCATTCATTTGCAATGGACCTGGTAGTGGAGAAACGGTCCCTTAAGGCCAATAATCTTAGGCGGCGATCTTCACGGTCTGTTGTTCTACGGCGGCGTCCAGTGCCCCTTGCTCTTTGCGTACGGCCTTCTCGAAGTCATGCCTGACAACACCTAACCACAGTGTCTACACTTCTTTGCACTCTAACTGCAATTGCCCGAAAAGAAAGTCCAGCTTCCCGAAGTCCCACTATACGGCCCCTATCAAACTCACTAAGTTGACGAAATCGTACAGGTCTCCGTACTCTAGGCATCGTAACCGATCGTAAAGGATGTCAAGAACGAAAATCCGCCAACGTTGATTCTTTACTGCGGCTGAAATATTCATTTTTAGTGCGTTAGTGAATTAAAAACAAGCAGTATAAAAACCGGAATGTCCAACTGATAAGGCTGAAAATTTTTTCACTTGTTATTTACAGTAAGATAAATACATTCACCAACTTTTATTAAAATAAAACCATTTAAACTGGGTGTTCGGATTTATATGTCACTTAGTATATTTCTCAGAATTTCTGGATGGTCAAATTTAAATTCAGCATATCAGGTATTACCTAAATCTGCTGGGTTCTATTCGTTTATAGTAACGAGCTATGGAAAGAGGTAAATCTTGATCTGCAACGCAATATTGATATTATAAGATCATTGATTTGGAAGATCATTTGTTTTTTGATAAATCGAGTAGGTAGATTCCGGATTCGATGTCAATTCTGCTAATATGGGCAGCAAATTCGAGGCGGCCCATTTACTAGTCACAATTCGGTTTCACCAGATATGTCTATATAAATTTAAATGTCCAGTCAGCTAATCACGTCTGAACCACAATATGGAGAGATGTAAAGCTATGAATACTTACTAGATGCTACCTGAGGAAGATTAGATACATGCTTTTATCCGCAACTCATCGTCGACTTCGTAATCAACGTCGCGACAAGTAGCAAAATCTCCACCGTCAGCGTCAAGCCGGCAACAGTGCGGCCTGCCATCGTCCCACTTTACATGTGACCGTCAAGCCATACAGACGTTTCATTATGTTCCGTCCTCGTCGAAGTAAATATTTAGAATACATATCGTAGTACCCTCGTAGTAGCGGCACCGCGCCCCTTCCCACTACCTTTCTCCCCTCTGGCCGCCCATAAACCTTCACTTCTAGAAGTAACCTAAGGATCTGATGGAGCGACCCAGGACGCCGCTCCCACTAATTCTGAAGCTTACCCTGGTTATCGTCACTGGAAAGCTGTCGTTCCAATCAACATCGATAATCCATCATGTATCGGGGGCCCAGATTACGGTAGGACCTTTGCCGGGAAGAAATACATGTCTTGTTTCCTACCTTGAAATTTCTTACCTTACAGGTGATAAGAGACCAAGATATAATTGTTTGAGCTATCAGTATTTTAGCCAAAATGTTACTAACGATGCAGACAGGGCATGTACAGGCTGAGGCCATCTCAACTGAAATATAGATACAG